ACAACGAGAGATGAACTTCAGAGATAGCGATACATGATAATATTGTGTACATAAGCAATCCTTGCCGTATTGAGGACAATAGATGTATGAGAGTTCTAGGAGATGTCAAATCTTCTCAGGATTGTGTTTATTGCAACCCAAGGCATCTTCGGGAGGTGGACGGACAGTGGACCAAGAGTGCAACCATAATATAGAGAGAGATGACAGTACATTTTGTAAGAGAAAGTCAACACGATGGATCTGCATAGCGAAAGGTGATACAGAACAAAGTTGGCCTTGCGTGTTACGCTCTTTGTGCATCGATGGGTGAGCACTGAGATCAACGAAAGAAAATGCCAAGTGCAGGACTTTATGAGAAAATGTAAGGAAAACTCAATGTGGTGCACGAGGAGCTGCCGGACATCTGTCTGAGCATACGATTGAGTCTTTTCAGAGGAATGAATATCCAACACATGTGAGGATGGCTAGGAACTGCAAATTGATAGCATTTTGCGGAGAGAAGGAGCCAATAGAACCATATCATCTGCGAAACAAAAACACCAGCAAACATCCATCGCCAACAACAACCAACACCAACTCATTCAACAAACTATCCAAATAATCCGCAAAGAGAAGGAGAAAGAACACACCAACCTTGAACGAACCCCTTAGACACTTTGAAGCTTCTAGAGAGACAGGTCATGATTCCTGGACACTCATCCTTGCATACTGTACCACTGGAGAAGAAAATTCAGGCTTGCAGGTGTAAAACCTCAAATCTCTCTAGTTCTGAAAAGAAGTCCGGATCTACTCTATCAATGCTTTGCTCGCATCCAGAAGCAGCCTAAGACATGAACCATTATTTTATATAACGAAACGAGAAACAACAGATTTCTGATGGGCTGAGCACAGGGTGGTAGGACGAGCCAGCCTTGAACCAAACTGCAAGTGACTACTATGAAAAAGGATTTCCTTATTTAGAAGAAGCAAGTTCAAATCAGTTTCCTTAGGTAAAAGCAAATGCAATCGGGCGATAATTGGTATTGCATTGTTGATCCTTCCTTCCCGCTTTTTTAGGGACAGGAACGCTAACACGAATGCCCGATGCACTGTGGCAGGTAAGGCCATTCCTAAAACAGCTGTGAATAAATAGCAGGTCACCTGCTCCAGAAACTCTCCAGCCAACTATAGGGCGAGAAGAGGGTGACGACTGGAAGCAAAGTTTGGAACAGGCAGTAGAGTAGAAAACAATTTGATGAGCATAATCATCCAGAAGCCCAACCCTGGAGCATTCTACAATATCTGAGGGAAGTTAGGAGCCGCTTGCTAACGAAGATTTTGATAGTTTCTCAATGGTGTGTCGAGCACCCTAGACCATTAGAATGCGATGAGAGTATGAGGGGGAGGAGGTGGTGGAGGAGAAAACTGCCAAGACCCAGTTAACATGAAATTGAAAAGGAGTGGGAAGTGAATCAGACCAAGTTACTGACTGCCAGATGTAAGGTATGAGCATCAGATACAAGGTTAGAAAAGGATTGTGTACAGAGAATATGGTCGATCCATGAGTGTGCTTGAGCATCGTCCCTTTCATATGTATAACCAATATCGTCACTGAATAACAAGTCACACGCAGACAAGTTTAAATCAAACATGAAGAGTCAGCTAATAAGTCTTTTAAACAACCATCCCGACCAAAATCCACATTAAAATCACCAACTAACAAACAAACGTCAAAATCATAGGAATCAATAAAACCTTCCAATACTTTCGTTGCATATTTGACATACAAGGTTTGCAAGGTCAGCTCTTCCAGCAGCTAAAAACTGACGTGCCATTAGCTCGTAAGTCGCTTCTGCACCGTGTTTTGTACTCAGATACTCGCCATCGCCGTTCATCGTGACGTCATTCTTTAACCGCTTCACCACTACCATGCCTAATCCCAGGGAAGTCGAGGACTCACGACACAGGTCTGCCAACGCGCCTGGTAATACGCTCGCAAACGCGCCCCTGCCTTTCGCATGCGCGCGGCTCACTGATGCAGCAAATGGCGTTGTTCAGTGACAACCGAGGAAGAGCTCAACCATCTACCGTAGTGACTTGCGGCAAGAAGCAAACGATCGCTTGATATGCGTGCACACCTCCGGCAAATTCGGAGACGTTCTGTGAAAAAATCAGCTCTTCAAGTAAGGAGCTAGCGGGTCTGAAGAAGAAGAAGAAGATGAAGAATAATATGATGATGACACGAAAATCGTGAAATCGCGTATGAGCGCGTGGACGCGACGACTGAAGGTGCGTATGAGGTCTTGGGGGACATGTATAGGTTGGGCCCGTAGACTATTGCTAGTACGTTTTGAAGGCCTAGGGAGTGATTCTCACCGAGTTTTTAGTCGTTTTGTACACGGGTCACGTGAGATTTCACCCGTGTGATCCCTATATAAAGAGTCTACCGACTCTCTAACGAGAACTTTGTCACAACCACCCTCTTTGCATAGTCCAGTTTGGTATGGTCTGGTATTGATGACCATGAATTTTAGGCTAATCCACTAATCACATGTGATGACCACCCCTTTTCCTTTCCATGTGTGTGGCTGTGAATTTCCAAACACACCTCTTTCTACGGTGGCCGACAAGTGCCATCCTTCCAATTTCCATTTCGTCTTTCCATTTTCCAAATTCACCTCCCATTTTCCATTTTGTACTTCCATATTTTGCGCTTCCATTTCACGCTTCCGTTCTCCGTTTTCCCGGCCTTCTAGATAGCTTGACCAGCGCGGCGCGGACTGCCGTCCTTTCTCGGATTCATAATTGCATGCAGCACGTCGCATGTCCGACGGCGCAGCTCTGGACGTGACCTAGCTACACTGGTCTCGCTACCCAGACCTCCGCCGCGTATATAAGGGTCTGCCGCACGCTTAGTCCACAGTCGCTAGTCGCCACAGCCACCTGGAGACCCCACACGGATCGGTAAAATGTCGACGAGGGACGTTAGCGGCGCAATCAGGCCGGCGGTATTCCCAGCCGCGTCCATTATCCACGATTCTCTGATGAGCCGTAGGGGCCTAGCATCATCCGACCGTGCGCAGCGCGTGATGGCGAACAGAAAGTGGAGGTACAAAATGGAAAATGGGAGGTGAATTTGGGAAATGGAAATACGAAATGGAAATTGGAAGGATGGCACTTGTCGGCCACCGTATCTTTCTCATGCACACACCTAGATCCATCTCTGCACTCCATTTACAGATACACATAGTATATGTGTGTAGATACTTCATATGAGACTGTCTTAGTGCTACTGGGGCCCAAGAGACACAATTTGCCAGTATAGGTTTTCCTTAGGTTTTGCATTGATGTGTGACAACAACCTGCATTTTGGTACACACGAACATCTGTTGCCTTTGCATCACACCTCCTTGCTTTATTGAGCCACTGAAAATCGTTTAAAAAACTCAACTGTTGTCGTCACAACCACCCCGTTTTTCCTTGTGTGGTCCAGTCTGCAGTAGCCACAACAGTCAGTAAATGTTTTTACACCAAGTAATGAATCAATTGCTCTGTTAGAACCACCCCTTTCACATGCACACACAACTTCCATCCCTCCCGCTTCCAGACCTCAGCCAGTTGAAGAAACTCGAGATGTTCATGGGTATGTTGTAGAGATAACTGTTGAAAGCAGAAGCTAATGGACTGCTCGTAGCTACCTGAAGCAGGGTGTATGGTAGTGTCTCCAACAAAGACGCGATTATATAGGTTGTGGCACATATTATGGTGGTGGTGGTCTCATTGGGCAGGCTTCATAAATCAGACTACAATGATAGCTATAACCAGGGGGACAAAGAATGAAGGCGCCTGGCAAGGCACGCGTAGCACGGGGCAGATTGCCAAGTTGCTCCTCGTGCAAAACGCAAGCTAGCCACTTACAAATGTGTACACTGACTTACAGAAGGCACTGGAGTAGTTAACCCTCGGCGCGCATGCGCAGCGAGGGTTTGTCTGTGTGTGTCGACGCTTATTCTGGCACTACAGGCCACGAGGTGGCTAATGAGCGATACCAACGGCTTCAGAACTACGCGAACCTGAAAAATTATTAGGCAATTTTCCTGAAACCACTGCGTTCGAGAGTGACAAACTGGCACGGTCGCGGACCGAGTTCCGTGGCCCAACCCATCATTAAGCGGTGCGCATGCGTATAGACACGATCACGCGGTATGCTGGCTCCACACCTCTACCTGATCCGTTTACCTTGGAGGCACATGAAGCCACAGCGAAGGGCGTGTATCGACTGCCGCATGCTATCTACTACCGTAGCTAGCCCGTGTCAGATTCTCCGCGAGCTACTAGCGGGAGACCGCGGGAAAACGCCAATAGCCCAGCCCATCTATTAGCGATACGCAGTTCGCCGAGGGTTGCACTTCAGTCAGCGGGCCAAATGCGACAGCACCGCTTAAAATGATGGGTTGGGCCACGGAACTCGTTTAATGTTCAATGAATAAGAACTCATGATCCTAACTGTAGCCATAACCACCCTTTTCCTTGACTGAGCCAGTGAAAATTGTTTAAAAACTCTATGATCTCAACTGTTGTCGTCACAACCACCCCTTTTTCCTTGTGTGGTCCAGTCTGCAGTAGCCACAACAATCAGTAAATATTTTTACACCAAGTAATGAATATCAATTGCTCTGTTAGAAACCAACCTGGCGCCGATTCGAACTACCCTTTGCTATTTTCTGAAAACGCCCCTGCGTCAGACTCAATAAAAGTGGGTTTCGGTAGTTCGAGAGAAGGACAAGGAGCCGACATCATGGCCAAGAAGAAGACCCCGCCCCCCGATCTCACCAAAATGATGGACAGTAGTTCCGAGTCCATCGAGAAGAAGATCGCTGAACTGGACCTGGAGCTCAAGAAGTGCAAAGACCAGATGGCCAAGATGGGGGACAGCCACCCCATGAAGGTTTTGCTTACGGAATATATCCTCTCCCTTGAGCATCACTTACACATGCATCTTGGAGTGATCCCTCAGGGGTATACAGCATCTTGCCTATCGATATTTCAACCGAAAAACGTCTGTACATTTCCACCTCATTAAAATCCAGTGTTATGTATGTATGTCTCTCCCATACATTTCCTTCCTCCCCTAACTAATACTATAATACTTGGTCTTCATCTGTTGTGATTTTTACCAGGGTGCAGTCAAGCAGCGGGCGCTGAGGATCCTAAAGCAGAAGAAGACATGTGAGAACCAACTGGAGGGTCTGCGAAAGCAGTTATTCAACATGGAACGGGCCAACTTTGCCACGCAGCAGCTGAAAGACACGAAGACAACCGTTGACGCCATGAAACTCGGTGTGAAGGAGATGAAGAGAGAGTACAAGAAGGTGGACATTGGGAAGATCGAGGTAAGGCATTAGGTTGAGGCAGTATTGTCTGAGATTAGTAGTGTGTTTTCCTTTGACACAACTTTTCTGTTGTTTGTCAGGATCTTCAAGATGAGGTGGAGGACATGTTGGAGCTAACTGGTGAGGTACAGGAGACCCTGGGCCGAGCCTACGGTCTCCCTGACGACATTGACGAAGACGATCTTGAAGCAGGTTCTTTGTTGCCTCTAGTGTTTAATGCATCCTGGCTAATGTACAATACCCCTACAGAATCAGATGCAATGGGTGACGATTACCGACCTCCCGGGAGCCCCAATTAGGTCCCTACATTACTACATACTGTACGTTTCACAGTGATTATGAATGTACATTGTGATTGTCAACGCATGGTTTCATTTTTCAAGATTTTTTTAATTGGTTTTTAACAAAAGTTGTCACCACAAAAGTGTGCCAGTGGGCCATTAAAATTTGTCTTAGAAGTGAGGCATGGATCGAAGATTTGCAGCTGCCTTAGTGGCAAGTTTGTTGACATTTTCCAGGAGGTCTTTCCCGTGCTCCATCAATATTTGTCCATCGCGTTCAGAAGTGGGCGTTGTCAGATGCTGTTTCCCTTCCGCCTTCCATTCCTCTACTGTTAGACTCTGCTTCCTCTTGCTGTGTCAGCACCTGGGCCATGGAAGGTGGTCTAGCATTTATGTGAGTGAGTTCTGTGTCGTTGGGAGAGGGTGAGGTGTGAGGGGAGGAGGAGAGACACAGAATCAGCCGAAGTGGTGGCCGGAGCGACCTGAAAGTAGGATCTGGAGTAAGACACTGTTGTATTGGCGGTTAAACCGCCGCTACTGCTAGTTTTGACACTAAAGTGCAAACCCTCGGCGAACTGCGCGTCTGCGGACATTCGGACACACCCCTGAAATATTTCCCCCCGCATACATGTCCGTAGCAACGTCCTAGCAACCGTTTTACAGGCGGAATGTTTGGCCCTATTCTGAAAACACGCTCCATTCGACCTTTTTAGACCCTAGCACATGGCCCAGTAGTGGACCCCGTCTTTGTCCGGTGAAGTTAGCCCAAGCGGTTTTTGAGTAACACGTGTCCATTCGGAAGCGGAGTTGTTCGTATTAGACGCCGGTTTTCTACTGACCCACGTGAAAGTTTTCCTGCGCTTTTGCCTGTACTGCGAGAAGTCTAATCCCATCTCTGGAAGGGACAGTTCAAGTCAAGACGGTGCATTTTTTCTGTGGGACAAGACGTGCTCGGTAAGTTCACTATGTAGAGTGAGCGATCAAAGGTCGGCCACCATCAATGGTCGGACACTTACTCTGGGAATATCAAGGCACTAAGGCAGATCTTGACTACATCTATACAAAGCCTACACATTGACCTGCTACTCCTACAAAACTTATCCGCTCGGCTGCTTCCAAGGCGGAGCGCAAGTCCTACAAAGTCAACGTCCCAAGACTCAAAATATCGGACAAAAGTATCACTCGTCGGACGGCTCCATTTTCTTGCTCTCTTGTACACGCACCAAGTCACAGGCAGCAGCTTTAACTTACTTGAGGATGTTGCCCAGTGCACATGTGTGTATACCTTCTTGTTCCAGGAAGCAAGCAATAATTATGGTTACATTATAGGTTTTAGTGATCAATGGAAAAACCTGTCTTTTGCAAAAAGGTGATTGTTACTCAACCTCAATCCAACCTGGATTTCTTGTAAGAAGTAAATTTGCCTGAATAACATCACCATACTCAGGGTCGCTCTGTTCTTCCACTACGTGGGACAAAACATTGCCATTGGCAAAGTAATGAGCCATCCCTACAGACCCAACAGCAAATCTGCAGAAGATTTACAGAGGAATACTTGTTCACAACAGGTCTTTCTTTCATCAGCCTAAAGTCCACTACTTCTTGCTAGATTTTAGATTGTAAAAGTAAAAGTTCTGCAACAACAGTATTTGCAACGAACATGCCTGCTATTACCGTCGGGAGCTCTAGAACTTTATTCAAAATGACTCCCAAGTAACATAAAGCAGGGACAATCGAGTCCCCAGGAACCAGCGTCTTGTCATTGCCTCTTACAGGATATAAGTATAAGTCCTATCAGAGCATTCTACCTCTCTGGTTCGGCTGATCTGTTGGCCTACCGGTCAACCAACAATCTTCTCTGAGTAAGCTGAACACGTCACTCCTTACTCTAGAATTCCGGTTGAGAATCATCTTATGAGACTTGGTCTAGTTCCCTCTGTACACTTGGCAACATTACTGAATCAAGCCAGTTCGTTTGTGGACACCAACAGAAGATAAGGATGGAAAAAAGTCTTTCTCTCCACGTCACACATGCGCTGAGTTTTCACTTCAGCGTATACATGAGTATGTTCAGGAAGGAAAAAGAGGTGGCTGGGATAAAACAGAGGCCAAAGGATGGAGGGAGCAAATGAAAGTCGAGAAAGAACAACAGCGAGAAGGAAAAACAGAGTAAGAGGAAAGGGTGAAAGCAGCCAGAGCTAAGGAAGGGAGCACCAGGGTTAAAGAGGGCAAACCCTGTAATTACCAGAGTAACACAAGCAGCTCGGTGTACATACTTTGGAGCGGTGACAGTCCTCCCGAGAGTGAGAACTGTGACACTGTTTGCAAGAAAAGAGAGCCCTTTTAAAGTTTTACTGCAACTGAAAGTTTTTTCCACCCCGACCAAAACCTTTCTTATAAATAACACAGTTTCGCTTACACCAGATAGCTATTACACCAGATA